CATTTGTGATACCTGGAAAGCGTTCAACAAAGTCACCAAACACCGGAAACGTCTTTAGTCTTCGTAATACCATGTGAAAACCTTCCATTGTGTCATCGGTGAGTAACCGCCGCTGGAAGGCCCGAAGGTGTGCAAAAAATGTCGTAAATATTACCTTGATCGCGGTGAGCGTTGGTGTAGACTGTCTGCCGTCGATTAGGCACCGATTGCGGTTGGACCAAATAAAGTGCAGCGTCACGGCACGGAGGACGTGCCACACATCGCCGACAACATCTTCACAGGCTTGCCAGTCGTCGAATATGCGCATCTTCTTTGCCAGAACAATGTCGAGCCAAGTTGGCCGCGCAACGAAGAATGGAGACACAAGCGGAAGAACCTGCCGCCAGAGGTGCGTTGCGAGGGTGCAGTCGGAGAACAAGTGCTGCCCAGTCTTTATGGCATTGCATCCATTGGAAACGCATTTGCGGATGCCTGAATGCGATGCCTCCAGGAACCAGAAGCGCGACCGGACCGAGAGAAGTCGGAAGGCGAGTCGGAATTGAAGATCGTGGAAGACCAGTAGCATATTCTTGTGCAGGCGCTTACAATGCTGCACATACATCTTGATTTGTGGAGCGTCGACACGCTGCGAGTGTATCTACATCGAGTGCTACTTTATTGGAGACTTAGGCATCCAGACCACCTAAAGAAGCGCGGTCCTAGGGATCGCCGGGACATTGCACTTCCTCATCCCTCTTCTGCCTCCCATATATGGAAGCGGACAACTAGCGCTGGTGCTTGAAGTGTTATAAATAAGTTGTAACGCGTCAAGCCGCTCCACAATTTGCGCTGCCTCTCGATATAGCGTGCTCAGCCACTTCATTTGCACACTTGGTGCTGTTGAAACTAGCGTGTAGCCAATGTGGCGCTGCACGAAGTCACTTTAAGTCGGCCATACCTCACCAGCTCGTCTGAAGTCGGCAAGTGATCGCAAGCCGAAGACGAGCGATATATGCTGACGGAAGCTACGTTGCGGCACACGAATCATGCCGAGACACCGTCGATGGATAATAATCTTCGCCGATCGTCGCGTTATCTCATAGTGCAGCTCCGAGTCTGCATGGCCGTATGTTGCACGCTTTTCCAGAGGCAATTCGCGCCATGTGATCTCCCAGCGAATCCTGAACCACCACGTCCACGTCACTCGCCACCATGATGAAGTCCGACTCCAATTGATCATATTGCCATGCCGAAGCGGAGAGATTGCTAAGAAGTCGAGAGCTTGAACGCCACCGTACAGAGGGAGCACCGACTTCAACACTTCAACGCTTGTTGTGGTCCAGTTGCGCTCGTCCGTAACGATCATCGCTTGTATGAATTGTAGAAGTAGTATGAGTCGCTGTCGCTTGAGCTGCGCTTCGAGACTTGA